GAAAGGGGGAAGTGAGGGAAGGGAGGGAAAAAGGAAAGAGTTAAGCCTCCAAATAACCAAGTTAGCCAACTGTGTTCTGTGGTTGAAGATAAAGAGTGGAACCAAACTTTACACATGCATGTGAAATTTAAATACATAGAGACATTTCTCCAATCTGGCCCTCTATGATTTGATTTACACCTATAAGAAAGAAAACTAAAAGGCACATAAGTGAGTCAAAATGAAAATGAGAAGAATACAGCATTGTCCTTGGCGAAGTCTGGAGTACATTAAAGTAATTGGATGCAAAACATAAAGCCAGGACTGCAGCTGGTGAGGAACGTAGAAGGGTTTTAAAACTCCCGAAGAGCCAAGAACCTTTTTTGGCTAGATTACACTAGACCATCCAATGTTGCATTTTGGACCATGTTCATTTGATTCTAAAATTTAATGGGCCAAGCAATAAACTCCTTTTAAAAAAATCGTGAAAGCTGTTAGAAGAAGGTGCACACAGGGAAGGGAGACCCTCACAGAATGTTGGATCATCCCAAACTCTCCTGGAGCCCAGTGGTTCAAATCTGAAACAACCAACTGCAGGGTGCAGCGCTTGCCCCACCAGAACACGGCGGGCAGCGCGTGCCTCCTAGACCTCAGGAAACAGTTCTCAAGCGTCCGACGGGCTTCTCCATGGCTAGTGTGCATTTGTAAGGTGCGCTAAGGCAGGGCTTGGGGTAAACTGCTGTCCTCCTCTTGAATGCCCCTGCCTCCCCCAATGCGTTCTCTCTCCCTCATCCACCCGTTTTAGGGGGTGCTGAGGGACAAGTAGAAAACAAAACAAGCAAAAAACCAGTTGCCATCTATCTAGTTGATGCCAGCTCATGGAGACCCCGTGTGTGTCAGAGTAGAACTGTGCTCCAGAGGGTTTTCAATGGACTGAAGGAACATGGAGGTGCAGCTGCCCCCAAACCTCAACGGCACTGACCTGACTCATGACCCAGAACTCCCCCCATTAGGGTTTGGTGTAGTCTGTGGGTTGTAGGGACAGATCTTTCCTTAGAAAACTCCTATAAATATATTGCCAGCGACAGATAACCTTCACCTGCCTGTTTGCATGTTCTCGTGGGTCAGACAAACCAGCCAAGGGAACAGGACAAATTCCCTTGACTGATGGGCGTGGTACTGGGAAGGTTTCTGACTTTGGGTGCCCCTGAGAGTCCTCCAAGCCTGTCCAAGGGGGAAATAAAGGCCATAGGGCTACAGGGGGAACCGTCTAAAGAGCAGTCCTGTACAATTTCACCTCAGACTGCCCCTTCATTTTATAGTTGTTTTTATGAAGGAGAACATTGAGGTTATCGGTTAGAAGGAGGCTTGGGATTTTCTGTAGATTTAATTTACCTTATGCCCAGTTAACAGAGAGGTAGATTGTGGTAAGTTTTGGGGAACTGACTGATGGCTTTGTGGCTTCGACTAAAGAAGGGGCCAGTCTGCCTTTCCAGCAGAAGAAAAAGGGCTGGAATCATGGGCAGTAAGAGCACCCCTTAATCAATAAGGAGCTCTGTTTACTTGTGGTTTGCATGTTGTCTAAAGAGTGTCGTCTTACTCTATGAGCTTACTTACTGAAGGAAAAGAGGATGACATTATTCTCAGTAATACCTGTCTCATAGTGATGTGGCCAGGTTTAATGAGAATGTTTATCAAGTCCCTATAGAGGGCTGGACCTGTAGGAGGCTCTCAGTAAATGCTCATTCTTTCATCCAAAAATATTTATTCAGTGTGTACCAGGACCAAGTCCCTAGGTTGCACAGAAGGTTTGTGCGCCACTGCTAACCTAAAGGTTGGTGGTTCTAACGCACCCAGAGGTACTGCGGAATAAAAGGCCTGGTGATCTGCTTCCATTAAGATTACAGCCTAGAAAACCCTGTGGAGCACAGTCTGTAACACACAGGGTCACGATGAGTTGGAAGTGACTCAATGGCAGCTAACAACAACAGCATAGACTATACTTGATGCTAGAAGACATTGGGGAACATGACAGACAAGCTGTCTCTTCTCATGTATCTTTATTATCATTGCTTTTTGTACTCCTTGGGAATAAAAGTGTCTTAAACTAGAAACACTGACGAGTCGATAGGAAGACGTAAAATACACCAGAAACTCCAAAGGACCTGGACCAAAACAAAGAGTAGAGTGAAAGACGTTTAAAGCCGTATAGAATTTCCAAGGGTGAGAAAAGGGCAGTCAGTGTTGGGGTTTGGGTTAGGATTTGGCAGCTTTTGCTGATAGTTGGGTTGAAATAATGTGATGCCAGATTAAGTAATTCACAATTTTCCAAAAATGTATGTGTTTTAAGGCTGGGCCTTTGTTTTTCCCTTCAGAGTGCAACTGTGACCCCCGAGGCTCCCTGGACAACGCCTGTGACCCTCAGGGCCAGTGCCTCTGTCACCCCCATTACACCGGCCAGAGCTGCAGCCAGTGTGCCCTGGGCTTCTACGGCTATCCTGACTGTCTTCGTGAGTGGCCACACTTTCCTCTCTGTATTCAGTGTCCTTTAGGGCAGAAATAGCAGAAAAAGTCCAAGAACATTTCCTCAGAAATCTGCCTGATAGGCACAGACTTGATGTTGGCAGACAGGCCTGGTGGTAACGTGGGCCGTGAGAGAACTCTGACCAGAAGTAGATCTAAGTCTTGTCCTGTCATCTGCCGAGAGCTCACTGAGTGATGTTAGATATGGTTCTTAATCTCTTATTTCTAGCTCCTTGGGGTTCAGGGGGCTTCATACTATAGAAGTAATCCTCTAGCCCCCCCTTCTGAATGTGTAGCTCCTCAAGGTTAGGGAATATGTGTGTTTTTCGTCTTTACTTTGATATGACACCTAACCACAGTGCCGTGAACACCGCAGGCCTTCGATAAACGTCTGCTGGAGGATGGATATCACATAGCAGGGTGGAATGGTGGTAGATTCCCTGGGTCTGCCACTAACTAACTGTGTCTCTCTGAACAAGTCACATAGCCATTTGGAGTCCCAGGTAATTTGTAATGGGAAAACTCACTAAGTTCCCTCCCATTGTGATTCCGATGACAAGTCAGGCAGACACTGCCATTATTGTCATCACTTGGCCCCTGGGGCTGGGCCGAGTCCTGTCAGAGAATGAAGAAGTACCTGGTCTCGGCCCCCGGGGCTCAGTGCTCCAAGCCTTAGTGATAGGAGCAGGTACAGATCCGAAGGACACCCCCAAATACATCACTGGAATTGGCACTTTACCATCTGAGGCTTTTCTTTCCCAAGGCCCCAACTAGTGTGGAATTTTTTGAAACCTTGTAAACAAGTTGTATTTCTTGCTGCATTCACTGAATATTAATTTGGAAGTCAGAAATACTAATTCATGGGTCCCCCTTTATGCAGTACGGATAATGCCAAGAACACTTTTCCAAGGGGACTTGGGTAATCACAGTCATAATGTGAGTAAGAGTGAACACTTTCTGAGCACTTCCTCTAGGCCAAGCATCATGCCCAGTCCTGTTCATGCCTTATCACCATGGGTAATTCCCAAACCACCTCACGAGGTAGGTACCATCATCAGCTCCCGTTTCAAAAGAGGAAACTGCGGCTTAAAGAGGTCAGGCCACTTGCCCACAATTGCACAGCTGTTACATGGTGGAGCTGGTGCTTGAGCCCAGATGGGTCTGACTCCAGAGACCACAGCCTTTTGCTACAGACTAATTAAATGTCACTTAACTTCTGAGCTTCACTGAGTAACAGTAAGATTCAATGCGACGGCCACTTCAGTTCCTTTGAGTTCTTAAGGTGTGAACCCCTCCACCTCAGGAGATGAGTCCAGCCACTTCCCTTGCTCACTCGTCCCTGGGAGCAGGGCCCTTGGGATGCAAATGGGAGCAGCACAGAGTAACCCAGCCCTGTGGGAGTTGAGCCATGCAGAGACAGGTAGGACCGGACCCAATGGGAAGGGAGAAGAGAAGGGGTAACTCCAGCCCTGTGGGAGTTGACCCATGCAGAGACAGGTAGGAACCTGACCCAGTGGGAAGGGAGAAGAGAAGGGAGTGGTCAGAATCTGCCCTCTCTGTCCATGCATCTGCTTATTCACCTATTTAGCCAAAGATGATGATAAAGCTTAAGGTGGGAGAAAAGAAACTGAGGTACTTTTCCTATCCACGCCCAACCCAACTGCATTACTTTTTATTTAAAAATTCAGCTACACTGAAAAACAGACAAACCAATTGCCGTCTAGTTGATTCCCACTCATGGTGACCCCGTATGTATCAGAGTAGAACTGTGATTCAGAGGGTTTTCAATGGCTGTAACATTTCAAAATCATCGGCCGTTCTTTCTTCCAAGGCATCTCTGGGAGGGTTCAGACCATCAACCCGGGAGGGTTCAGACCATCAACCCTTAGGTTACTAGCCGGTCACTCAACCATCTACACCACCCAGGGATTCAGCTGTACTAGACCTTGAGAAATAGGTATGACGAGAGATGGATGGGGAAGAAGGGAATCAGTTGTCAGCCCATCTGGACTGGACTGGTTTGCACTTGATCCTCAGTGGGGTGTGGAGTTTCTCTAATGAGCCACCTTGCCTCATTGGCTATTCCCTCAGTGCCCCTCTCATGAGCGCCAAGTGCTGTAAGCAGGAAGCATCCTCCAACCCCCTGGAACATCCCCGGGCCAGGACTCAGGCCGATCTTGTTGAATATGATAGCAACAACAATAACCAGAAAAGGTAGCGTTTGTTGAGTGCTCATTCAAGAATGTCCCCACCTCTTCCAAGTATTATTTAATCCTCACAACAGTCTTATCAAGTAGACACTAGTATCACCTCCACTTACAGAAGGGGAAACTGAGGCTTAGAGCAGTTAAGTGACTTATTTAAGGTTCCAGAGCTACTAGGAGGTGGAGCTGGAACTTGCGTTTGAGCCTCTCTGGCACCATTCCCCACACGTGCTCTTACCCACAATACTCTTCTGTCTCCATTTCCGCTGCCCTGAGCTGAGCTCTCTCCTCCAGCCTGCTGGTGCTCAGCACTTGGCTCCTACCAGACGCCCTGCAGCCCAGTGACAGGGCAGTGTGATTGCCGGCCGGGAGTGACAGGACAGCTGTGCGACAGATGTCTTTCAGAAGCCTATGATTTCCCTCACTGCCAAGGTAGGGAAGCCATCAGAATGCTGGAGGGCTGGTTCATGTCTCAAGTGTGTGTGGTCAGCCTCCCAAAAGTCTCAAATCCCCTACAAGTGACCCTGTGTCATCTGCCTGGCTCCTCTCCTGGTTCAAGTCCATCGAAATGCATATATCAGAGATACATCCCCAAAGGAATCCGGAACTTATTTGTCCCTCCCACCTACTGCCATCAAGTAGATTCTGACTCATAGTGACCCCATAGGGTTTCCAAGGCTGTAAATCTCTATGGAAGCAGACTGCCACATCTTTCTCCCAAAGATCTGTTGGTGGTTTCAAACCAACTTTCCAGTTAGCAGTTGATCGCTTTAACCACTGTGCCACCAGGGCTCCTTTATTTGTCCCTACAGAGAAAAAAAAATTTTTTAAATTCCCATGTGCTATAAATGTGGGTTTCTTGAGTCATGTAAACATTCTCTGGGTACAGCTGTGTGGCAAAGGTGACCCGTTTTAGCTAAACTGAGCACTCGTTGGCCCCTCCCCAAGGCATCTTGTCTTCTTTCTTATTACCAACGTGTGGTGCTGATGTTGGTTGTCCATCATCCGCCGCAGCAGATTCGAACAGGCCCCTCCTGGCAGGCTGAGCAGGACCGTTGCTTTATTCCTGCCCCTTTCTCCTTGCCAGTGGCCTTCTGAGGGACTGTATTGTTACTTGTTAGCGCAAGAGTTGGGGGAAGGGGAGTGGGATGAAGTAGAGTCTACTCAGTTGTGAGGGAGTGAGCCAAGAAGGAGATGCACACCATGTGTGCAGTGACAGGCCACCTTTGGTGCCCACTCCTCCATGAATGGGAGAAAATGAGTCTGCCATGCTTTGTGGCGGAGGGACAAGCAGATTTGATGCACCCAGAATCGCCCTGTGCTCCTGCGTGTGTGCAGCTGCTGATCGCTGATTTCAGAGTACTCTTCTCTGCTGGGAAGAGCTGTTTGAGGAAGCTGACTCATTCTCCTCATCAGGAGCACATGGTTTCCTCGCGCCCCTTGCTGCTCCTGATAGCACTTCCAGGCTAGTGTCCAGAGCCCTCTAGAGACAGGGCCACGGCTCAAGCATGATTTCCCAGGATCTTTCTAACCACAATCATCAAGAGACCAGTTTTCTTGATGGTGGAAATTATAGCCAGCAGCCAGAGGGGACTGATCGCCTTTTGGAAGGCCTGAAGGTCCGAAGGATGGGAGAATGCCTGGGGTGGATCTGCTCACCTCTTCTGAGGAGATCGGGGAGGGAAGTACTGTGGCTGCCAGACAGAGAGGCTGAGTGGCAGCACCTGTTTTGGAAGTGCTACCAAAACAAAACAAAAAAAACACCAAACCTGTTGCCACCAAGTCAATTCCAACTCATAGTGGCCCTATAGGACAGAGTAGAACTGCCCCATAGGGTTTCCAAGGAGTGACTGGTGGATTCAAACTGCTAACCTTTGGTTAGCAGCCGAGCTCTTAACCGCTGTGCCACCGGGGCTCCTAGAAGGCAGAATCTGTGGGACCTGGGAGGAAGCGAAGTCTGGAACATGGCCAGGCTGGAAGACAAAAAGAGGAAGAAAGCATTGTTGAGTATTACAGAAAAATGCAAGGAACACAAGAAACTTAAAAAACAAAAGAAAATCATCAAGGGGAGAGCTGAGGCACCTAAGAAATAAAATGTAGGAAAACAAGATTATATTATGGACTTATTTAGAAAGTTTGAAGAACCAGGCTCAGAACAGGTTTTACCCAACTTTTTTTCATTTCTAATGCTGTATAATAGTAATACTGAGACATTGCACAATCCCAATTAGTTGAAGAGAGATTCTGTTAGACTTTTTACCAAGGCAGGAAAGCAAACTAATTACTTTTATAAATAATTTTAATTCAGGTAGGGAACAAGGGGGCTGTGATAATTAAAATCAACTCTGGATTAACTGAAAAATGTACTTAGAAATTCTGTAACTTTTTAAATTGACAATTAAAATATCTCTTGGTACAATGTTGCCCTCTTCTGGACAAAATTAAGATGTTCAAAACTTTAGAGTCTACCCCCTCTAGTCTCTTCCTTCATCTTCATTTAGAAGCAGACTTCCATTGGTAGGCAGAGAATAGAGTTGTTCAGTGGCCAGAGGGGTGGTTTTTAGTTTAAAGATTATGAACGTTATTCAGGGCCCCTTTCTATGAATTACTACATGCAAAGTCCTTGCTACTCATCTGTCAAAAATATAAATGTACATGTACTATTTTTAAAAACAAGTAAGACTTACAACTCATAACACCAAAAGAAACAAAGAGACAAGCAAACAACACCCCCTTCCCTGACATTAAAACTATTTCTAAATCTTCTACAGGCTCCGGCAGTGACTGTGACGCCGCTGGCACCACCGAGTCCAGTTTGGTAAGGAGAGGACTATAAAAGGGTCACAATTCTAACTATTGGGTCAATACTTAGAAAAGACTAACACATTTGGGAGCTTCCTTAAATTAACAGTAAATTAAGACCCGAAGCCCAATTGCTTAAAGATGGTAAGTGTTCATTTTCAAAGTACATATGGAATCTTGTGATTTTTTTTTTTTCGAAAACAAAAATATAAGGTTTATTTAAATGTTTATTCTAGTCCTAGAATCTAACCCTCCACCATCCATTTGTCAGTTTGTCATACTGTGGTGGCTTGCATGTTGCAGTGATGCTGGAAGCTGTGCCACTGGTATTTCAAATACCAGTAGGCTCACCCATGGTGGACAGGTTTCAACAGAGCCTCTAGAGAATCAGCCAAAATCAGCCAATGAAGACCTTATGGATCACAACAGAACATTGTCCAGTATAGTGCTGGAGACAGCACAGGACCAGGCAGCATTTCACTCTGTTATATGTAAGGTCACCATGAGTCAGAGCTGACTCAACGGCAACTAACAAGAACCCATATGCTCATTGCTAACAAATCAGTTCCTACTCATAGTGACCCTATGCAGGAACAGTAGAGTCCCACTCTTAGTGTAGGTTACTTTGAAGGCGTTGCCACCAGGGCGCCCAGCACATAAGTCTGAACTACATAATTAATAAAATTTAAAAAATCAAAGGCCAAGTATACATTCATTGAAGCTGTCTGTGTACAAAATAAGTATAATTTATTTGATATTACTCCAAGCGCAATACTAGGATATTTCGAATGATTTCCTAAGAACTTTGAAGATTATCTGTTTTCTTGGCCTCAGAGCCTGGAGATGCTGAACATCTCAGGCACCAGGTGGGTTAGTGGTGAGAGAAGTTATGCCATATTGCTGTGGAACTTTACCGTATTTAAGCAAGGCGGTGAATCTTACATGTTGTAAAACACTCTGCCCACCACCCCACAAGTTGCCGTTAAATTGATTCTGACTCATGGCAACCCCATGTGTGTAAGATTAGAACTGTGCTCCATAGGGTTTTCAAGGACTGATATTTCAGAAGTAGATTTCCACACCTTTCTTCCTATGTGCCTCTGGGTGGACTTGAACCTCCAACCTTCCAGTTAGCAGCCAAGCGTGTTAACTGTTTGCACCACGATGGACTCCTAGATAAACCTAATTCATTACTGATTCTCAAGATGTTAAATATCCACATATTTTTGCATTTATTAACAGTATCAACAGATACTGACAATGTTATAAAGAAGAGTGGTTTTTAATTTTACTTTTTCTGTATTTTCTAGTTTTGTTTTTGCCACAAGTGTGGATTATATGTGTAACAAGTAAATGAATAATGAAAAAAGGAATTAGCATGCTCTTGAAATCAATCCAGTGCTTTTGTTCGCCCTGGTACACTTAATTTACTTTTCATGGCCACAATATATTTCTGTCACAAGCCTTTGTTGAGAAAACATGTTGGGGAACATGTCTTAATTCTAGGACATCAACTGTTTGTTTGATTTTCTTTCAAAGGGGTATTGCCAATGCAAGCTTCATGTTGAAGGTCCTACTTGTAGCATCTGCAAACCATTATATTGGAATCTGGCCAGAGAAAACCCCAATGGATGCTCAGGTGAGGCTTCTTATAACCATGATTTACCATATTGTAACTTCCTCTTTGTTTTCTCTACTTGGTGTCTAAACTCACCAAAGAGCTATTTATTTAATCAGTTCCATTTTCCTGAAATTCTGTGTAAATTTTTGATCTTTTTTTCCCACTTTTGGCAGAATTTCTGTCATTTTTAGAAATCTCAGTAGGGGATTTTTCTCCTGTTTCCATATGTATTCTGTCCCTTGCTAAGGCAGCTCCTTGTTTTTATAATCCATTCCTTCTAGTTTAGTTTTATTGTAATCTTATGCTTATATTGAAACCAGGATAAGAACACTAAGTTAAAAACGCTAAACTGAGTGAGTACCCTTAGGTAGGGTATATTGCCATGTAAGCAGATCAGTGATGTCCTTGATGCTAGAACCCTCTTAAAATTTCATGATGTTCCAGCGTTTATCTTGGAGTGGCCATAAATCAGCAATTACTCCTAGAGGGCGGATAGTATTGATCTGTATGTTCTGCTAACCCCAGAAGCAATCCAGTTTTAGCCCTCAGTGGTGCAAACAGTAATTCTGCTGAAGTGTGCTAGAAAGTGTGCACGTGTAGTATCACAGGTGGGTAATGTTCCCAGAGGTGGGGACTGTCCTTGTGTAACCCTTGGTTATCTCCACAGAATGCCAGTGCCATGTGGTGGGAACAGTGAGTGGAATTGGAGAATGTGGGCAGGTAATGTGGGACGGTTTTTCATATGATAACAATAGAATGCCATAGCAGTTGATTGTGGGGTTGCAGTGGGAGTTTATTAGTACCTCTCTAATTGTAAGGTGTGGGGGCAGTGGTAGAATTCTTGCCTTCCGTGCGGGAGACCTGGATTCAATTCTCAGCCAGTACACCTCATGCACAGCAACCACCCATCTGTCAGTGGAGGCTTGCATGTTGCTATGATGCTGAACCGGTTTCAGTGGAGCTTTCAGACTAAGACTAGGAAGAAAGACCTGGTGGTCCACTTATGAAAATTGGCCAGTGACAACCCTGTGGATCACAACAGTCTGATCCGTAACAAATCATGGGGATGGCACAGGACCAAGAGTGTTTCATTCCATTCTGCATGGGGATCCGCATGAGTTGGGGGCCGACTCAATGGCAGCTAACAGCAATTTTAGGATGCATAGTAATCTTTTTTGAAGTTTTAAGATCTTGGCTACAACTGCTTCATATTATACAATGAGCCAGTTTTAAATCTTGAAGATCAGAGAATTCTGTAATTTTATCAAACTTTATCACCTGGCTTGTCCTGTAGGGAGATGGTGACTGTCACTGTAAGCCTCACGTCTGTGGTGATTCCTGTGATACATGCAAAGATGGATATTTTGCTTTGGAAAAGAGCAATTTCTTTGGATGTCAAGGTGAATACCTCCAGTGGGTCCTGTTAGTAAAACAAAAGTGTTGGTGGACAAAGACTGCCAGAATAACTTCTTTTTTCTTTGTGTATATACTTGCTGGTGGGATGGTACTGAAAAATTCTGTTCAGGGAATTTGGCCAATTATTTAATTGAAACTAGTAGTCAATTGCAAATGGGCTGTTTTGACCTCTTTTCTACTGCCATACTGTTGATTTTATATTAAATAATGTGGATTGGGAAGGGGGGGTCATCTGTTAATTCCCAAGTTTTTTTTAGAAATATAATGTTAAATAATGAAATTGCAGGACAATTGCCCACAATTCTACTCTTTTATCTCTCACACACTGCTCATTAGGACACATTATTTATAATAGCACTGTATGTCTAAATTATACTTACCTCCTGGACTCTGTCACCTTTCAGCTGGACACCAGGGTGACAGCTGGCCATAGTAGCACACTTCCAATTTACAAGCTGACTTGTGGAGGGACACTGTTTCAGTCTGGGAGGTTCCTACATATTTCAAACCCCTGTCAGATATAAGATGTGACAGGGGAAACAAGACATCTGCAACACTGGGATTACTGATTATCAGTTGTCACATCTCATAGAGGCGGGAGGGCATTCAGCATGGTGATGTGTCTTAGTGTCTTACGGCTGCTCTATCAAGTTACCACAGAGGGAGTGGCTGAAAACCACAGACATTTGTTCTCTCACAGTCTGTGGGCTAGAAGTCTGAATTCAGGGTGTTGGCAGGGCCATGCTCTCTTGGAAGGCTCTAGGGGAGGATCCTTTCTCATCCCTTCTAGCTTCTAGCAGTCCCAGGCGTTTTTGGCTTGTGGCAGCATACCTCCAGTCTCTGCCTCTGTCTTCACATAGCTGTCTTCCCTCCGTCTGTCTGTATCTGTGTCTCTTCTCCTCTTTTTATAGGAACATCAGTCATAATGGATTATGGCCCACTCTTCCAGTATGACCTCATGTTAACTAATTACATCTGGAAAGGTACTATTTCCAAATTAGGTCACATCCACAGGTAGTGGGGGTAGGCCTTGAACATACCTAGTTTTGGGGACACAATTCAACCATAATAGGTGATGTGACAGGTAACTGCTGCTATTTTCTGACTTTCAGGGTGTCAATGTGACATTGGTGGTGCTCTCACCCCCACGTGCAGCGGGCCCTCCGGAGCGTGCCGGTGCCGAGAGCATGTCGTGGGGAAGGCGTGCCAGCGGTGAGTCTTTGGGGGCGTTTCTTCCGAGCTTCAGGTTAATATTGTGGAAGACTGTCTTAGATGTTCCTATCTGTGCTGACAATTCTGGGGAAGCAAAAAGCAGTCCTAAGAGTAGAGGACAGATGAATCTGTGGCATAATTTGAAATCAGGACACTTGTCTCTAAGTCCAGTTAACACATGAGGTAACAGTGCCCATAAAATTGGTTTCATGTCATAGGTCACAGAGGGGCTTCACCTGAAATTTCCCACAGGTACAAAAGGCCAGGTGGATGAGATGAGACCTAGAAGCCCTGGGGTGGGTTCACATGGTAGAACCTCCATGTAGAAGTCAGAGCATGGGAGAGCAAAGAGATCGGTCAGCTTCCAGAGAGAGGGAGTAAGAAGGGGCAGGTTCCACATGCCAAAGAGATTCGGTTCCTCCCATGGGCCCATGAGTGAGGGAGCGGAGAAAGGCCAGGTGAGTGACACTGGGGCAGGGGTAAGAAAACTTGTAACTGAGGAAAAAGTCCCTTGTTTCATTCACAAGCAGATTAAAATGAACTGTAGGGGGAAAGGAATGAAGTGGACATGAGATTCCCAGAAGGGGCTGTAGAAAGTACGGCAGCCTTGCTGTCCCTTCATCCTGTTATATCTATAGCAATTTATACATACTCTTATGATCGTTTATAATCCTCTTTCAGTGGAATGAATAAAAAACTAATTGTTAATATTCTGAGTTTTAATAATATTCTAGAAACTTTGTGAAGTACAGCTTCTTCTAAATCTCAAGTACCTTCACCACTGCTCATTACTTATCAGCAGATTAACAAAGAAGTCTTCTATGCAGTTAAGGTAAATTGTCTGTGGTTAGCATGGAGCTTCTCTCCTTTCCCTCAGTATTTCCACTATGTGATTTCAAAAGTCAGAGCAGCCCAGCTGTGTTCTCTTCAGTCATTTCCATTTGGCTAATTGCCACTGAGTCATGTAATAGAAGGTATGGGAAGAGGATCACATCTGTAGAGTTGTTTTCTTGAAGTCTAGCAAAGCTCACGGTAGATCAGAGAAACTTTCTAAATAGGTTCATAAACACTTTCCACCCACGGTTTACTTCTTTCCACACTTGTGTTGATGAAGTGACTATTAAGTAAAATTGAGCTTTTCCTCTATTTAACTAGCATATGTTTTTCTTCTTCCAGCTCCGTACATGATTGACTAATTTTTGGGTTGAAATAACGTAACCCAATGGGAATTAAATTACCCACGCTGAGGCAAAAATATTGACTTTCTAAGTTACGTATACGCACATATGTATATATATGTGTTTGTGTGTGCATATATTTGAAATTTAGAACTTGTCCTTTGATTTAGAAGTAAATGATAACAGAAATAAAGGATAATAAACCAGCAGTGTAGATGTTGTGGTGGTAAATCTGGCATTTTTTTGGTACTAAGTCATCCCAAATGTTTATGATATTATCTGAGCATTTTTAGCTTTTCTTACAAGTTTAAAAGTATTCACATTCACTTTGTTTGCTAAATAATTTTTGTCATAATGTATATATATTCATAGTAGAAATTTTAATAAGTACATAAAGGTAAAAAGATAAAAATCTTCATTCCAGCGCAGTTCTACTCTGACACACAACTTTTTTTTTTAATTGGATTTAAGGATATTCAGATTACTAATGAACCTAATGAACATCCACATTTACTTTTCATTTATAAAAGACCTGAAAACAATTAGAGATAGCCCCTATTAGTATTTTTGGTGTAGCTTTTCTAGACTTTTCTTATGAATAAAAATTGGTATTATATTTTTCATATAATTTGTATCAATTTCCTCACTTCATGATATGGCAAACATTTTCTATTATTAGTAGTCTTCAAAAAATATTAGTGGCTACATAATATTCCATAATTTCAAAAAATTTGCATAATTGTACATTTATGTTTTTTCAAAGTTTTCATTATTGTAAACATTCTTTATGTTAATTCTTTGATGCTATACATAAAATTATTCTTTAGAATAGATTCCTGGAAGTAGAATTACTGGGTCTACAGGTGTGAACATTTTTAAGATTCTTTATAAATTAACTCCAGAAAAATTATAACCATTTCTAATTGCAATTTGGAACATGCTGTTTATTTCCTTTGACTAATTGATCTTTATGGCTTTAGCTTGTGACTGGATTGTCAAAATGTGTTATTTTGAATATAAAAAATAATTTGAATATAAAATGCCACACAAGCTCTGGAATTTTTTTTTTTTTTCTTAAGAGAAGTGTTTATTTAATATAAATACTTGCTTTCAAGATTTTTCTCTCCCTGGAACCTGAAATTTTACAACTATGTTAATTTTACAACAATGTTTTTGCAGTTCCATGGCACCCTTTTGTCTGAGAATCTCAGTGTTTACTTTCTTTTTTTTTTATTGATGTAATTAAATGAAGTTTGCATTTCAAGTTAGTCTGCCATACAGAATTTTTTTTTTAACATACATTGTTATGAGACCCCAACCGCTCACCCCATTCTGTGACAGCACACTCCTCCTCTCTGCCCCTGATTCCCCATGAACATTCAACCAGCCCCTAACTCTCTGCCTTCCCATCTCACCTCTGGACAGAAGCTGCCCCTTTGGTCTCTTGTATCTACTTGTCTAAGAGGCACATTCTTCACGAGTATCACTTCATGTCCCACAGTCAAGCTCTGGAGTATTTTTGATCCTTTTCTATGACTGTCATTATTGGACACTTGAATTCATTCATAGGCATCTAGTTTAAGGAAAAACAAGGCATAAAAAGTCATTCAAATGATCAAAATATATAAAGAATACATGTATCTAACTTGTAAACTTAGCACATTAAATATTTTATATTCGTGTTCACTATTGTGAACTGCCACCAAGTTGATTCCAACTCATAGAGACCCTATAGGACAGAGCAGAACTGCCCCATAGGGTTTCCAAGGCTGTGAATCTTTACAGAAGCAGACTGCCACATCCTTCTCCCATGGAGTGGCTAGTGGATTCGAACTGCTGACCTTTTGGTTAGCAGCCAAGTATGTAACCATTGCACCACCAGGGCTCCTGCCTGGCACATAGATGCTCAAAAAATACTTTCGTAATGAGTAAATGGCGCCCTGGTGGTGAAGTGGTTAAGAGCTCAGGCTGCTAACCAAAGGGTCAGCAGTTTGAATCTACCAGCTGCTCCTTGGAAACTGTATAGGGCAGTTATACTCTGCCCTATAGGGTCACTATGAGTCGGAATAGACTCGACAGCACACAACAAGTGAATATAAGCGTATAAATGAATTAATAATAACTTTATAGTAAATACCCTAATTCGACATTTCCAAGTTGTTGGCAACCTTTAGAATATATTAAAGGATGTTGTCACTCTGGGCTGTGCTAAATGATTTTCCCATTTTAGTTCTTGGAATGAGTGTGTTTTCTGTGAATGTTTACATTGAATGAAAACAGTAATTTAGAGAAAGAGCAGGGGAGCCTCTCTCATTCACCCTTATTGAATGCACTCTGCCACTTTGTGGGGAGTTCTTTTTGCAGTAGTTACTGGGATTAAGAAAGGGCCCTGGTGACGCAGTGGTTAAAGCGATCAACTGCTAACCAAAAGGTTGGCAGTTCAAAACCAGTGGTGGCAATGCCAGAGAAAAAGGTGTGGCAGTCAGCTTCCGTAGAGATTTCCTTCATTCTTCTCTACTGTTATCTGTCTATCTTGGCTTTGTATTAGAATAATTAAGGGAATTTCTATGTTATTTATTTACCTTTAGAACTTATGTAATATTTATGACTAAAAAATTCTGTATTATTGGAATCGACTCGACGGCAGTGAGTTTTTGGGAGTGGGATTAAGTTAACGCACTTGGCTTGGCTGCTAACTGAAGAGCTGGAGGTTCAGGTCTACCCAGAAGGACCTCAGGAGAAAGGCCTGATGATCTACTTCTGAAAACTTAGCCATTGAAAACCCTATGGAGCACAATTCTACTCTTACACACAACTTTTTTGGTTTTTTTTTAATTGGGATTAAAGGATATTCAGATTACCAATGAACCTTACAAATATCCACACTTACTTTTTATTTATAAAAGACCTGAAAACAACTACTATTTTCCGGATCTGCATCATATGAAGTATGAGATGGAAGATGGCACCACACCTGATGGAAGAGACATTCGCTTTGGATTCAGTCCCCTGGAGTTTCCTGAGTTTAGCTGGAGAGGATATGCCCAGATGACCTCAGCACAGGTATGTGGCCATGGGAAACAGCTTCATGGAGAGTAGCCCATCTCCTTACCCACAGCACTTTCAGTGAGCCCCCAAAGAGGTGAACCATCCCCAAATGGATTCCAGAATTCTTTCTCTCCAGGGTATGGGTTGAAGTTGGGGTTGGGGTGGAGGTTAGGGTTGGGGTTCAGGGTAGGGTTGGATTTTAACTGATAAGCGTAGATATGGATTTCAAAGTTCACTGTTATTTTAATTTAATTTGGCCACCAAACAAGTCAGAAAATGAAGGAATTAAAGAAAAATGGTGCTTTTCTCTGGAGACGTTTTATAAGATGAAGGAGGTTTCTATATTGTAGCATGAGGGACATTTCTCTTTAAAGCCATCTGTGGAAGATAAAAATGAATTGGCTTAATAATAACAGTAAAGCTTGTGTTGCTAATTTTTGACCAATTTTTTTAGACTCTGAATTACTATGTGAATAGGAACTTAGATAAATGATGAGTTTTAGTTAGTGCTGTTTAAGTTTTTTTCCCCGTATTTCTCCTTTCCTTCATTCTTCTCTACTCTATCTATCTTGGCTTTGTATTGGAATAATGAAGACAATTTCTGCATTATTTATTTACCTTTAGAACTTATGTAATATTTATGACTAAAAAAATTATGTATTATCTTAGTTTTGTTCTCAGAATTTCTCTTTGAGGTTGGTTTCTTCAAGCTGTGTTTCTCAGTGGAGAAATTCAGAGTAAGAGAGGAAAGGTGACATCCATGGTAACCCAATATTTGTCATTTGCAGACCCAGGAGTAGCACTTGCTGTTTATCACAGCCAGTCCTTAGAAAACTGGGAAAGATTCACAGTTTCTCTTGGAGCCTCCATTGGTTCAAACGTAGCTTCTTGCCTGGCCAAAGCCCCCGCACCCTCCCATCAAAGCTGCCTTTCCCAAATAGTACCCAGGATCTTAAGGCATTTCACTTTTTCCTTATGTTCCCCAAATACAGCAATGCAGTTTCTTTCATGCTCTGCTCTTACTTCAGTATTCAGAAAAAGGTAGCAGATCCCACTGAGTCATAATAGAATGTGAATGACAGAGAGCCCAGTCAAGGTATATGCCTCCTCAGAGGTGTTTATAGTTTGAAAGAATAACTGTTTGACACAAAGGAATGAATTTTTTTTTTTAAGCAGCAAATAACATATTTATTGAGCACTCCGCCCAGAATCAAGACCCAGATATCAAAAATTTCCCCTTCCCTCAAAGAACATACAACCTAATTGGAGAAACAGAAAATAAAAGGAATGAATTTCTAATGATGGATTATCTGAGGAAGCATTTTTGGTTAGAGGACCTTGGTGGTGGTCCTCAAATTACCACTCAGTTTACTCTGCTCCTAATACATTTTTGCCTTTTACTTTCTTACTTTGAATGAACACTTAAAGATGAGCTCAGTCAAATAAGAGGGACACCTGGAGTTCCTCAGCCAAGGTCAGCTGCAGTTCTTGCACACAGAGCAAGTGATCTTACCCAAAGCCAGCCTGTATTGTCACAGATGTCTTATTCAACTAATGTCCCCTTCATTTTAACTAAGGATCTAAGGGAGAGACCAAAGGTTCATGCACTTTCCTTGAGTTACAGCAGGATCTGGGCATGTAGTGTGTGGTGCAGAATTTAAATAGGCTGCCCTTTCCCTCAGAGTCCTTAATGTGGTCAGCTGATAACCGAAAGTTTGGAGGTTTGAGTCCACCCTGAGGCACCTTGGAAGAAAGTCCTGGTGATCTACTTCTAAAAAATCAGCCACTGAAAACCCTATGGAGCATAGTTCTACTCTGACACACATGGGGTCGCCATGAGTTGGAGTTGAATCGATGACAGCTGGTTTGGTTTGGGTATTCATTCCTTCAAGATCACGGGCTCTCCAACTCTCACTGAGTCTATCATGGGAATGGCAGGGGCCTGGAGACCAATATACCCCCTCCTCTAGCTTGAGAAACCCACACCCTTCTTGGATAAGGGGTGGAGGTAAAAGTTCATAAGACTCAATAGGCATGTTTTAGTTATATCCAGATTTTACTGCTAAGGTGTTTGGGGTCTCTTACCTTTCCTCAGCCACCGTGGGTTTCTGCGACCATCAGGATGTTATGTATGTGAAACAGATCCTGGAATGACCTTGCTACGTGGGAGGTGGTGTAAATAATGCACTTTTCTTTCCTTCTGTTGCATCTTTTTATTTTCGCCAGCCAGTGGTGGTTGTCCCTGTCACCTGGCTTTCCTTAAACTAGTCCATGTAACACTCTACTCTGTCTGCCTGGTCACAAAAAGGTCAAACGAGGATCTCAGTGGCTGAGGGAGTGCATTGTCACTGTAACGGTATAAGTGATTTCAGTTCATTGTTAGGCTTGCCTGTTTCCATCTTTGAATAGTTGGTTACTTGCATGCTTGTTGAGTGGATGTGAATATGTGTGTATTTTTTTTTTTTTTGTGTGTGTGTGTGTGTACACACTACAAGCCCAGTAGTGAAACAAATAAAATGAAATCATTGTTTGGTTAGCATTTCTTTTTGGTATTTTTCAGAATGAAGTAAGGATAATGTTGAATGTGGGGAAGTCAGAGCTGTCCTTATTTCGAGTTATTCTGAGATACATTAACCCTGGAACTGATGCAGTATTTGGCCATATAATTATTTATCCACCCAGGGCTAATGCAGGTAGGTAAATTATCAAGGCTTCTTCAATTAAGAAATGATCAATGAGTGTTTCTCCACTTTTCACAAATTTGACAGTCTTCAGAAAACATTGAGCCTATCTCATTAGGACAGTTCTGTAGCTGCCCTGTCGTTTGTTATTTTTTCATTATCTAAACATTCTGTTTATTCATATCTCACTATTAAATTTATCATTAACTGTCATTTAAAAAAATCAATATAATAAGCAGTGTATTTTGACTGAACCCATGGGTTTTGATATCCCCACAGGGCAAAGCTAACTTATGTCTTACTCACGGTGAAGTAAGCATTATCTTCGTGGTGTTGTTTGAGAAACGTTGGCCTACTGCCCTCATTCTCCCATTGTTTCAAGTAAACCATACAGTTCAAGGAGGAATGGGTGAAGGTGAAAATGGTGAGGAGTCCTGGGTGATGCAAATGGTTAAAGCGCTCAGCTGCTAACCAGAAGGTTGGAGGTTGGAGTTTACCAGCCGTGCCTCGGAATAAACACCTGGTGATCTACTTCTGAAAAATCAGCCATTGAAAACCCTGTGTAGTACAGTTCTGCTCTGACACACATGGGGTTACCATGAGTTGGAGTTGACTCAACAGCAGCTGGTACTGGTAGGAATTGTTAAGCAGAATGCTGAAAAGCATGAAGCCCAAGAGAACTCCAGATAGGACTGTGTAATCTTCATTCAGGAATGGGGGACACAGGATAGAGGGATAGCGGAAGAGGACAACCTGACCATAGTCGCAGATAAGGCCAAAGTCTGCTCTGCAAGGAATTAGGGCTTCCACCAGTCCTGGAAACAGATTCTGGGAAGCATTAGGAATCCGAGGACACAAAATGACACCAATAATTTAAGGGCAGAGATTTAAGCATCTTTGTTTAGCATCCATGGCAGATGTTCCCAAGTGGTGTCAGCCAAGCCTGTGTGGCTTGAGGTTGATGAACTAATAACCAATAGGAAGAACTAACAGACTTGCTTTATTATTTAGAATACTTTAGCATCCATTTCCTCACGAGTCTCATAAGAACTTTGTCAACTGACGAAGGTTGAAGAGGAAACAGAGCTGAGAGGTTTAGTAAATTGCCTAAGTGCACAACTGTTCTTTGTAGACAAGTCCATGTCTTCAGACTCCAGACTCTTTCTAATATTCCCGCTTCCTCCTAGGTGACAATGACATCAGCAGCTTTCCTTCTGTTAACTCAAACAATTGAAATACATTTAGGTTTGTTTGCTTACCCTCTGGGTCACCTTTCTTAAGCCCCCAAGATGGAGTCAGGAGCTCCTGTTACCTATTCCCGTCATAACCTATGTGTCTCCTAAATGGCACTGTGCACACTGTACCAGCTTCCTGCTTTCCAGTCTCAATCCCTGTCCCACCCGGCCCCCACCATCAGGGAACAAAGGCCGCGTTGGCCGTGTTCACTGCCATGTCCCTAGACCCTACTCCATCCCTGACACTTAGTGGGGACCCCATAGATATTTGTTGAATAGGAGAGTGAAAGCAAGAATTTGTAGCAAATATTTCTTCCTAAGAAAAAGTTGTAGTTGAATTCAGATGCAACAGTTTTGTTTGTTTGTGAACCTTCTACAGAAAAGGGAGAAGGGCCTGTATATTCATAAAAGCCAAGCTGGGGAAGAGGAGACTCCTGAAATCCATGCTTGCTGAAGGCCATAGATCCAAGGCCACCCCCATTAAACCTGTGTTCTAGTGGACTAGTGGATTGATGGCGTAGACAGGCTTTGTTGGGGTGCTGCATGTATTTCCCTGCCTCTGGTGAAAGAGGCAATGAGTAGGGACATAACACAAACACTAGATGCCATTTTTAAAGAGAGGAACTTTATATCATCAGCTTCTGAAGGCTTGAGTTTAGGAGGTAATAATAATCTCGTGGAACCCTGGTAGCACAGTGGTTAAGAGCCTGGCTGCTTACCAGAAGGTCAGCAGTTTGAATCTACCAGCCACTCCTTGGAAACCCTATGGGGTAGTTCTACTCTGTCCTGTAGGGTTGCTATGAGTCAGAATCGACTCGACAGCAGCGGGTTTGTTTTTGGTTAATAATCTCATAGATGTTTACCATGTGTGGCTTTTGAGCTTCTCCTGTGTGCCAGGTATGGTGCCAGGTGGTGGGCACATACCAAGAGGAAGAAGTCACAGGTCCTACCTGTGTCTCCTCTATTTGTTTGATGTAAGAGAAAGCACTGTATCCTGAAAACACACAGAAAACCAAAATGTTTCTTATTAAAAAATTAATCCATGTTCTTTAATAGAAATTAAAAAATTCTAAATTACAGATAAACAAAAAGAAGAAAATAATTTGATAGCAAATATAATATGTTGAACACTTACTATGTGCCAGTCACTTTTCTAAGCAGTTTACATGGGTTAATCTACTTAATCATTTAACAAATTAGAAAATTACTAACAATCCTAGAGTAGATAGCCGCTGCCAACATCTTGATATCAATCTTTCTGGTCTGTTTTATGCATATGCCTATATGTATACATCTGGTTTTTAAAAATCACCAAGATTAGTAAATATGATGGATCAGTGAACCACCTTAATCTTTTTCAGATGTAAACTGAATAAGAAACAGAATATCCAAAATCGTAACGTTGACTGCTAGCAAAATGCCTTATGCTGTTCTTTTTACTTCTGACAGGTGCTGTTCAAAGCAAAAAGATCACCTTCCTGCCAAGTAAGGAGCCAGCCTTTGTCACCATCCCCGGAAATGGTGTCTCAGACCCGTTTTCAATTGTACGAGAGACATGGATTGCTTGTATCAAGGCAGAGGGAGTCCTCCTGGTAAGAAACGTTTCTCAGTGGAGACCTGTGGGTTTCAGAATATTGAAATTCTAGGCGGTTCCCTTCTGGACATAGGAACCCGTGATGACATTTGCCCTCAAATGACATAGGAATCAACTTCAAGTACGTTTTATATCCTTCCAGCCAACTTCCTTCTGGCAAAACAACAACAGAACAAATTATAACTCACAGGGCCTAGAAGTTATCAGAACAAATGCACAACCTTCGTGAGCATATGTCCCCACCATTCAAAAGCCCATTTGGGGTTTTTCCATCATGAATCAGAAGGACATCTAAGAAAAGTAAACCTCTCTGGGAATTGGGCAGAATGAAGTCAGAAGAACCAAGAGGAAGAGAAGACTCTGATATAGTGGTGTTCTCGGCCATGGGAAGAGAAGGATGAGGCTAGAGGAGCCAGTGCTTCTCTGAGACACTCTTCCTCCTTTCTTGTTCCATGCAGACAGTAGTCTCACCGAACAGATTGCCTTGGACAAAGAACTCTTCTTCAAGGAAAAGGCTGTGTTCTCAAGTACTGCTATAATAGTCAGAGAAACCATGGGGAGTTTGACACCCCTGTTTCTTTCATATGTGATTTTGTGTAAGCTTTAGCTGATAGCAAAAAGGTCTTTTCAAAATAAAGCATTTGGCAAAAGCTTGGGTTCACCTAATCAGAGCAGAAAGCATACACCTATTCCTACTGGCACAACACCCTTGACTGGCCAAGTTAGCCAATCTCAGGCAAGTCCCTTAACCCCACACCTGCCTCAGTTGCTTCTTCTATACAGTAGAGACTGCACTTACCCTGATGGATCGTTTCTAAATCTGGGGTCCTACAAAGGAAACCCTGGTAACATAGTGGTTAAGAGCTTGGCTGCTAATCAAAAGGTTGGCAGTTCAAATCTACCAGGTGCTCCTTGGAAACTCTATGGGGCAGTTCTACTCTGTCCTGTAGCGTTGCTATGAGTCGGAATCGACTCAACGGCAATGGGTTTGGTTTTTTTTTTTTTTACACAAAGATACTGTGAAGGTTTGTGCTGTTCATTCAGTCCCTGTTTTTCTTGCATCTTGTTGGTAGAAAGCTTTGCTGTTTTTAAAAAGTTTAAGAATGTTTCACAGATGTGAGAAACGAGGAGGAGGAAAATTCCATTGATCCAAAGTTGGACTAATGGAAAGAAAAAATTCAGTACAAAAGTTACTTCATAGGCATGGAAGATGCTCAATTACTTTTTTTAAATATAATTTTATTTATTTTATTGTTGAGAATATACACAGCAAGACATACACCAGTTCAGCAGTTTCTACATGTACAATTTGGTGATATCGATACATTCTTCAAGTTGTGTAACCATTCTCACCCTCTTTATTGAGTTGTTCCTTCCCCATTAACATAAAGTCACTGCCCCCTAAGGTTTCTGTTTAATCCTTCAAGTTGCTGTTATCAATTTGTTCCCTTATAGATAGTTCTTAAAAGAGCATAATGCTCAAGGCAGACCTTTTTTTTACTAGCTAAGCTAAACTATTGTTTGGTTTTAAGAAGACTTCAGGAAATATATTTGGTTTAAGTTTAAAGATTATCTCAGGGCAGTAGTTTCAGGGGTTCATCCAACTTTCATGGCTCCAGGGAGTCTGGAGTCCATGAGAATTTGAAATTCTGTTCTGTATTTTCCCCATTTTGATTGGGATTCTTCTATGGAATCTTTGATTAAAATGTTCAGTAATGGTAGCTGGGCACCATCCAGTTCTTCTGGTCTCATGACAAAGGAGGCAGTTATTCACAGAGGCAATTAGCCACACATTCCACATCCTCCTGTTCCTGACTCTCCTTCCTATGTTGTTCCAGTTGAATAGAGACCCCAACTGTTGTGCCTTGGATGGCCGCTTGCAAGCTTTTAAGACTCTAGGCACTATGCATCGAACTAGGAGATAGAACAGAAGCACTAAACACATTATTAGGCCAATTAACTGCAATGTCTCTTGAAACCATGACCCTAAACCTCCAAATCAAGAAGCCAAATCACATGAGGTTTTTGGTTTTGGTTGTACATAAGCAGCCTCAGCAACTACCTTTTTTTTTTTTTTTTTTTGTCGTTGTTGTAGATACATCTATCCCACAACTTTTGACAATTCAACTTCTCACATCAATTACTTTTTATCAGTGCAATTGCAATTGTATAGTAATACCTGTATATGCTTCCATCTCATTTTCTGTAAAAATATTTTAGGGAGCACTTAGTATCAACCTTTACTGTCCTAGGGTCAGTGTATAAAATAATGAGAAGATATGGTCCTAACCTCAGAAACTTACTAATAGAACAATAACCATTTTGAATTAAGTCCACTCAGGCATTCAGACCACTGTGGTGGACCATTTAGCGCTCTGTGTCATAATCTCCCGCTTCCACCCTCCCATATATTTCTACTCTTCTCTGTTATAGACAAATGGAGGCCTCCCAGGAGAGAAAAAGCCTCATAGTGTGGTTGTGGCAAACATTCCCTCCCTTGTTGGGCATGTGGTGATGCCAGGAGAACTGGGAAGCTGTCAGATCATCTGCATCTCTGAAGCCCAGGCTTGGCTCTTTTCCTGAAGAGCTGCTCAGCTGGTTTACATTGTGGGATTAATTCGGCGCACGCAATGGGACATGTTCTTCCTCTCATTTCTTAGGACAGGCAGTGGGCCAGTTTCATTCTGTGAATCACTAGGATCACAAAACATCACTATCATACCAGTTGTGTGTTCTTCTGGTGTGGAAATAGGAAGCTATAATACACGGGCTAAAATTTGGTAGAGGTGCCACAAACGGTTTGTGCTCGACTACTGACTGAAAGGTTGGCGGTTCGAACCCATCCTGTGGTGGCATGGAAAGGCAGGGTGATCTCCTTCTGTAAAGATTACAGCCAAGAAACCCTGATGGAAAAGTTCTACTCTGTAACACATAGGGTTGAATGAGTTGGAATTGCCTCTATGACAACGGGTTTGGATTTTTGTTTTTTGGTTTACAATTCAGTGTAACTACTATTTCTGAGGAACAGTTTATCAATTGATAGTTTATTATCTTTGTTAATTTTTGAATTTATGAACTTCCCAGAAGAGACAGTAAAATTTCTCCTGAGATTTGAAAATAAAAATGCCTATACCGAGGAGTTTATTGCCAATTTAAGAACCAAATGAGGATTTAATTAAAATGGTTATTGTTCTATTAATAAGTTTCTGAGTTGGGAACATATCTCCTCTTTATGGCCCCATAGATCCTAGGACAGTAAAGGTTGATACTAAGTGCTCCATAAAATATTTTTACAGAAAATGAGATGGAAACATTTATAGGTATTACTATACGATTGCACTGATTAAAAGTAATTGATGTAAGAAGTTGAATTGGCAAAAGTTGTGTGATAGGTATATTTAGAATAATGACAGAAAAAAAAAGAGTAGCTGGTGAGGGTGCTTATGTACAACCAAAGTGAGTTGCTTTGAGTGTTCGGGTGAATCGGGGTGAAGAACAAAGCAGTCAATGTTCAGAGTTTAACTAGCGAGCCCCAGTATGTGTGGTTATTTTATTATGAAAGAAGAGCTACCATTAATATGAGTGACAGTCCTTCTGGTCTTTATTTCCTAGGATTACCTGGTGCTGCTACCCAGGGACTACTATGAAGCACCCGCGCTGCAGCTGCCAGTCACAGAACCATGTGTCTCTTCAGGACAGACCCAGGAGAAGTTAGTGTGGGGCAGAGCGAGCGGCCACAAAGTCCCTGGCGTCCTCTAAGTTAGGAAGCTTTGATGCAAGGAATTGCAATAGACCTCAGGTCATAACTGTAACATGATGCTCTGGATAATTATTTAATTGTGATTTTTCTCTATGGCAGTAGACTGTCTTTTAAGTAAGAATTACAAAGCAGTTTGCACACCGTAGCTGGCTCGAGAGTCACACCCCCCTTGAGCGTGTGCAGTGCTGATGCATGCTCAAGTGTGATGCATCTGGTTGTGCATCTGGTGGGGGAAAGAGCTTGAAATAGAATCCAGGTCTGTGGACCTTTCACATAAAAAGTTACCACCAATTCCTTTAGTAGGCACTTAATAAGAATTTGTTGAAGGAGTGATGAATGAATGAGTGAATTGAATGAAGAAGAGTCCTTGGGATGCACTTTGATACTTACTCTGTTTTATGTTCTGAGTTATAACTGTTGTATTTTTTGTGGTTGTATTGAAGCTGCCTGCTTTACCAACATTTGCCAGTGACCAGATTCCCCTGTGCCCTGGCATGTGAAGCTAGACAATTCCTGCTGGATGGGGAGCTGAGACCCTTGGCAGCCAGGCAGCCCACACGGGCACATCCCGTCATGGCGGACCTCAGTGGGAGAGAGGTGGGGCCACCTTTCACTTACTGTAAAGCTCTTACGACCTCCTCATATGTGTCTGCTGTATATACTTTGGCCAGAGTTGCTTCTCAGTTTTAGGGGAAATAATTTCTCTGAGGTGTTAACTGAAGGTTGGCTGAGTTCTCTGACTTGGCTTGTGGCTGGCGTGGGCACCACACTGAACAGGTGAGGCTGTTCTTTGAGAGCACTGTCTAAACATGTCAGGGGAATGGGCAACCCCAGAGTCCTTGCCTTTTCGTTACCTGGATTTACAAGGGGGCAGCCGGCTGTACCCAATGCAGGCCATGATTTCCCTTAAAAAGATAAATGAAACTGAGTCTTTTCTAAAAGACCTCCAGAAAACACACAGCTTACCCTAAAAGGATACAACACTCACTGACTGTCTTCCCCCTTAGGATAAGGAATTTGCAACCGCTGAATTCCTCGAGCTCAGAACCTAGAACTGCTGAGCCCCAAGGCATTTACCTTATGGCTTGCAGGTCAGGTTACCACAGGTCTTGGCGTTGCTTTCCTTCCAGGAGTTCTTCAAGCCTCCTAACCAAATTTAGAACTATCCTGATTAAAGCTTTGAGTTAGAAGTACAGTATATCAACAACAACAACACCACCACACAACACAGCACCTCAAAATAAAGACTCTGCAAAAAACTTCCTCCACTACGTTTTCACTCCTTACTTTCTGCAACGTTTTCTGTTGTGTACCCTTGAGGAAACTGTTTATTTGGGGGAATAAATTTGTGGAATGAAAATATATGTGGAATCAATTCTCACTGAACATTTAAATGTATACATTTTTATAAACTACATTCCTGACATTTTGAGGGTAGCAGTTATAGGATTTTTAGTATATTTCTTAATTAGTCTTCATTTCATTTTATTTTATTAGTTTCTATTCCACAAGATTTTATATATATATATATATATATATATATATATA